GATGCAAGACCAATCAATGTTGTTGATAATTGTAGTAGCTCTAGAGTCTTGGTCTGGTTTCAGGTTCAAGATGTTTTGTCTCATTCATAAGTATCAACAGATACAATGTAAGACTGTAATCTACTATCTGTTAGTATTAGTAAAGAATATTTAACTGAATGTGTTTGAAGCTATAACCACCTTTCTTCCATTGTTAGATTTAATTGTGCTGTAACTATATGGTCTTGAATTGGGATAGTTGTTGTTGATATCAATATATCATTGCTTATATTATAATCTTTTCTGAACCTAACTCCTGAATGCCCTAATCAGCTACTAATCTGTAATATTTTTTAATTTTTAGTGTGGGAAAGGACTTATAAATGGTTGGATATTTTTTATATCTTTTGTTAGTTAGAGAAATATTAAAATAGAGATCTAAATATGGTCTATGTGATGTTGGAAAGATATGAAAAATAGAGACCTAAATATGGTCTGTGTGATGTTGGAAAAATATGAAAAATTAGGCACCGAAAAAAATTACACAAAATCCGCTAAAAAATAGTAAAAAAATTTACAAAAAAAAAATCAAACATTTTACATCGGGCCATTACAACCACTGATGTGAAAACACATCTTTTACATTGGGCCATTAAAGCCACCGATGTTATAAATTGCATTTATTTAAAAAAAATATAAAGTTGTATTATTTTTCGCATCAGACTTAACAGGCAACCGATGTGGTAGGATAGTTTTTCACATCAGACTGTTACTCGATATAAAATGTCTTTGATTTACTATATCACGTGACTTTACATCGGACCCAGACCCGATGTAAAATGTGTTTTTCGCCCGATGTAAAATGTCTTTCTTGCACTAGTGTTATAAGTTAGGGATGAAAACCCCGTTGGTGGTATGCGAGATCTCAGATCGTGAAACTCAGATGTAAGGGTGGTGATGTTGGCTGCGATGCCAGCTTTAAATGTCTGTTGGCTAAGTAGTACTTGATTGAGAGTCACTATTCCTTTTCAGGTAAAAAATCACACCCATTTCAACAGAGTTATTATAAGAAATTGACAAAACCCTCAGAAATCATCGCAAACTTGCAGTTAGATTTAATGACGTAAAATTACATTCACTAATATAATGTCTCACTAACATGGTCACATACACATAAAATATCAACTTGAAGTATAACAAAGTCGGTCTACCATGTCAACTATAGAAAATTGGATCGCATCGATGACAAGCAGAATGTGAGACATGTTCTTCTAAAATGGAAGAGTGCACCTCATTTTCCAATGGAAGTATCTTTTGTAACACATTAGAAGTTTGGCACAGAAAAGGTGAGCATAGAACCAGACATGTAATCACTAATCAAATCTTGAATGTTAGATTGCAACAAAAAGCTATGAAAGAAGAAATTTGCACTTGAAATTCCACCACTATCATTTGTCATCATGGTGTTGGCCTCAATCAATTGAATCACCCTCCGAGTCTCATAATCTATGAATATAAAAGTGATACTTAAAATCATAATACAAATAAATAATATGCATTTGTCTCTTGGTTTGTTTAGTAGAGATATTAGCATAAGCTCGAGTTACATTCTTGCATTATAATATAGCATTGCCAATTCGACAGTTGAAATTAACAAGGTTTGTTTATTAATGTAGAACAACTCTCAAAGTTGCTTTCAGTAAAGTGGTCAAACATGAGAAAGTCTGTTCTGAAAATTAACATATTTTTATATCATTTTCTTTTGACATTTTTGATTTCCTAGCACCATAAACAATTGATCTTTTACAGAGAGTTTAAAGACTTATAAATAGCAATGCAGTATCTCCTAGGTCTATAAATATAATTTTTAAGAGAATTAGTTTTGCGATTTAAAAAGAAATAACGGCACAACTTATTATCTGTTTGACTTATATTTCTTTATTGGCCTATTTTTTTTAATTGACCAATTGGATTATGGCAAGCTAATAAACAAGAATGAAGTGTTTAAGTGACTCATTTAAAAATGACACTCAATAATCATTTTGCCATTGATAAATATGAAGGGAATATAAGCAATTTTACGCCACTCTTTTCCATGCTTCCTTCGCCAAGTTGCTTCTAATAATGGACAATAATAGATACTCACTACTAAAAGAGAGGAAGGCAATCCCTCTTCTGACAGACTTAGAAACGAGAGGTGGCAGCAATCCCACCATAGGCGTTAATTCTAAGTTTGTGGATTGGAAGAAAAACATAAAATTTTCTTCTTTTTTATTTTTATACAAGCTACATACAACTTAAATAAAACATTTTATGAAACATAATAAATATATTTAATTTAATAAACTATTTTAAAATTTTTAAATAAGTTTTTGAAGTAAAACTGTTGTAATCAAGTTCTTAAAATAATATAATTTTGTAATAATTTGACTGATGGTTGGTTGATTTACAAAACTGTTTTAAAAGTAAAGGGTGTTCAAAAATATAATCAATTGAATGGTATCCTAAGATGATTGTACCATAAAAAACTAAACCACCTTAATAATTAATGAAATAAATTATTTAATTTAAACAATCCAAATTCATTTTAAAATTGGTTGAGAATCAATTTTCTTTTATAAAAAATTTTATTAGATAAATTAGTTTCTCATAAAAAAATCAATTGAGAGAAAAAATTAAAAATAATAAAAAATTTCAGAAAATAAAAAAAAATTATTTCTGAAAATATATATTTTGAAAAATAAAAAAAAGTTCTGATTTTTTTTCTAGAAAATTAAATTTATTTCTCCAAAAAAAAAAAATAATAAGGAAAATAAAAACTACTATTTTAATCCACTTTTTAAGTTTTCTTTTGAGTTTTCGTCCCTTCAAAATAAAATGAAGAGATCAAAGTTATGTTAATTTATACAATAACTATTATATAACCTGAAACGACTGCAACATGTTACAATATTGTAAAGTGAGAAGGATTTTGAGTACATTCCTTTGGGTGCCGAAAGAAGAATAAGTGTATGTCTGGTTTAGTTTTTGGAAGGGTAAAAAACAATTCTTGAGAGGTAGAAGTGATTCTGGGTGATTTTGAGATGTTTAGTAAGACAAAAATGGAATTGATTTTGTCTCTAGAATTGATTCTACTTGAAGCTAGAATTTGTAGCTTCTGCCTCCAGAATTGATTATAGATGATGTTTACACTGAAATTTATTGTTCAATTCACTTTTACATAAATGTATCCAAACATAAATCAATTCTGCTAAGCTCAACTCTGATAAAATCAATTCTACCAAACTCAATTCCGTTAGAATCAATTTTGTCCAAAGCCAATCCAAACTCACCCCAATTGCACTGTAGCAGAAGGAAATAAAACTGTAACATGTTGCAACCATTAAACAAAAGGAAACAAACATGTAACATATTGCAGCCGTTTCACGTTATATAATAGTTGTTGTATAAATTAACATAACTTTATTATGGCACATAGAGCTGTTAAAATAGGCTAGCCCATATGGATCGGTTGGTACAGGCCAGAAAATAAGAGGGTTTGGGTCTTTAAATTAAAATTCATATTTTAAGGCCTTTTTTAGCCCATTCCTAAAAAGCCCGTTACCCATTAGGACTAGCCGGCATGGACAGTAAATAGCCTATCAGTCCCGCGTAGTTATGAGTTTAAAAAAAATATTAATTCTTATATTGTATTACTCCAAAATAACACATTGATTTTTATTACTTTCACTAAATTTTGTCTCTATTCTATTCAATCTTTCTCTTTTAAATATTATACATTAATATAATCAACATTTTTCTCTCGTATTATATTAGTTTCTCTTATGTTAAATATTTGAGTATTATTTTCTACAATTTAGACATGTATTGTATTTAAAAATATATTACAATATTTATATAAGATAATATAGTACTTAAAAATGTATTATATTAAAAAATAATATAATTTTTTATTTTATTTATAATAAATATTATATATTTTTTATTAAAAAATGTCCGTTTAGGATCAAGTAGTCTGAAGCTCATCTAGAGTCGGATTCAGGTAGCAATTTTGAAGCCCATTTATAATAGGACTTTTTTGACCCACTCCTACAAAGTTTAGGCCCTTATGGACTGACCCGTTTAGGATCAGGTAGTCCATTTTAACAACTCTAGTGACACATGGCAAAATGCTTGCTTATTATTATTAAGAGTGTGAGTTCGATCCCCACAACTAACAAAAACTTTTATTTGTTTAATATTCATTATCCAATTATGCATTGACACATGGCACACATTAATTATTTAATAAAAATTATTTAATAAAAATTATTTAATTTATTAATTATATTAAATAATAATATTTAAAAATTAATTGTTTTTTAATGTGATGTGTCAAAATGTGTGACCTGGTGCTGATTAACATTGCCACATCACTGCCACCTTTATTAATCTCAAAGTAGGAGACTAAAAAACTGATTTTTTTTAAAGAAAATTAACATATTAGAAAAATTAAAATAGAAGATCAAAAGTGTATTTAAGTCAAAAAAATTTGAAAAACTTTTTTTTCTTCAAAAAATAGGAATTTTTTCTTTATGAAAATACATATTTTTTCTAGAAAAAAGTCCGAGTAGTTAGATAGTCATGATTGTAGATAGTTTATTTCCTCCTAATCAAAATTGAATGAATTTGACAGTGTTGTTAGTGGCCTTCGTATATATTTTTTAGGTGTACTGTATATGTATGACTTTTTTTTTAATAAATATTTTAGCCCTACTTTTATCTTAAGTGTAGTTATATTTGTTCAAAAATGTGTTTGGTGATATTATTATTATTCTTTGTGATCTTAACACATCTTTAGAGTTTTGTTACTGGGTTAAAGAAATTATATAAAACAAAGGAAATGATTCCATAAAAATAAAGGAAATGATATAGCAAAAAGAATATAACAAAAATATTTAAAATAAAACTAAATATATTTATTTTGATGTATATGTCATATTAAAGACTTTGAATACATGTTTATTAAGAAGACAATACAATTATCCATCACAACAACATTGTTTTGCAATACACTTTCCACCTTTTGGAAACTTATTTGTTAAACAATAATTGTTACAATCTTGATCTTTATTTGGACATGGACCTTGGCCAATGCAATAAATCCATTGAGCAGCTGCTTCTCCTGTAATAAATAATGTATTTGTTAGAAATATAACAGATAGATAACATCAAGTTATATTTACATGTAATAGTTAATTGTTATTATTATATTTACACCCTTCATAGAAATTGAAAATTGTTATAAAGTAACAAGAAACCTGGAATCAAAACACATGCAATGCATAGCAATGCAATGAAAAAATGCACACGATTGATACCAATAGCCATCTTTTCTTCTTTTACAATATGGAGAGCCAATGCCTCTTAGTGCTATTTATAAAGATTAATATAATTTCTTCATTAAATTATTTTATTTTAAAAAGGGAAAAAATCTTTTATTTCTTAATTCTTTATCTTTTTTAAAATTCAATCCAAAAATGCATTAACCCAATCTTGTTTAAAATTTTACTTTTTTTTTCATGAAAAATTGTTATTAAAATATTAGAAGTCTTGTTTGGTATTAAAAGTAAGTATAGAACAATTTATTTACCTAAATAAATTTGAAAAATTATAATTCAATAAATTAATATTTTAAAATTTTTATATGACACAATTTTATTTAAAAATGATATTAATACCAGGAAGATGAGTAAATAATTTATGCTTCTGATTATTTTAAAATTAATGTTATTTTTTAGATGTTTTTATTTAGAAATTTTTTCTTTTAGTCTTGATAAATATTTATAGTTTAGATAGTTTTAACAATGATATAATCATCCGATACAAATATTTTTTAATAAGAATATCTCTTTATGGAATTTTATATATTTAAAGTAATAGAATTTTTTTTGATAATATGTTTTTATATGGAATTTTTAAATCATAACTGTTAATTAAATCAGACGATTGATAGCGATAATTTTTATTTCTCAAAAATGATATCAATTCTCACTACATACATTTTTATATATTGAATATATCTAAAAGATACAAATATATATTAGAAGAAATGATAACTATCGATATTAATAGTTAGATTTAATTAATATTTAAGATTTACTGATTCCATATAATAATATTTTACAGAATTTTTTTCTATTACGGTTGGTGTTTCAAACTTCTATAATAAGAAAATCTTATCAAAACTATTTTTCTACTTTAAATAATTATGTTTAATATGTTTTAAAGTTATTACTGAATATATTTCTATTTACATAATTATTTATTTAAAAGTTTCAAAGTTTTTTATTTTTGCTTGTTCTACTATATTGTGATGATTTTAAATAAAATATATTATTAATTTATCACCTATATTGTTATTCGATTACAAATATAGAACAATGTAAAATTATTACCTATATTTTAATTTAGTTGATTTTTTTACTTGAATGTTTTGAAGAAAAATTTCTTTTTACGAGTTCTACTATTGTGACAATTTTAACTAAAAAGCATTATTGATTTCTCATCTATATTTTTATGGAAATGTAATAAACTTTCTAAAATTTCAAATATATAATAATTTGTATTTTTTAATTATTTTTATAAATATAAAAATAAGTGATAAATTGATAAATTTATAAACTTTCAAATAAATAATAATTTCACATTCTTCAATATTTTTAAATAAATAAAAATATATGAGATAAATCTATAAAATTTTAAATTTTCAAATGAATAACAATTTCACATTATTCAATATTTTAAATAAGATAAAATATAAGAGATTAATCAATAAATTTCTAATTTTCAAATAAATAACATTTGTGGACTCTTCATTATTTTTATTCAAATAAAAATATAGGTGATAAATCAATAAATTTTAAAACTTTCAAATAAATAATAATTTCATATTCTTTAATATTTTATTCAAATAAAAATATATGAGATAAATGAATAACGTGTTGTTATTTGTATTAGTTACAATAGAAGAACTTGTAAAAATAAAAAAAATTCAAACTTGCAAAAAATATAAATCAACCAAACTAAAATATATGTGATAATTGCATATTCTTAATATATTTAATAAAATAAAAATATATGTCATAAGTCAATAATGTATTTTTTATTAAAAAAAATAAATCAATAATGTGTTTTATTTAAAGTGTTCACAACTTTCAAATAAAAAATTGTGGAAGTAGAAAAATATCCAGTAACAACTTTAAAAATATTAAGCATAATTATATGAAGTAGAAAAAATATATTTGGTAACATTTTCTTGTTATGAAAGTTTTAAATAATAACGGGAAACTAAGGTGCTTTTTATGAATCAATAAATATTAAACGTTAATTAAATTTAACGGTTGATAAAGATAGTTCTCATTTTTTTTACTATAAAACATTCAAACTTGACTATTATTTATTTTTATGAAAAAGAAAGTATTTCAAAAATTAGGAAAAATAATTTTGAAAATAATTTTTTTTCTGAAAATAAAAAAATATCTGAAAAAAAAATATTTTCTATTATTTTGAAGAAAAAAATCTGAAATAATTTTTTTCCAAAAAAAACTGAATATTTTTTTTCAAATATCCCGAAAAATTTATTTCTAAAAATACATTTTTCCCAAAATAAACTTTTTCTTCCGAAAATCAAAATAAAAATTCTGAAATTTCTTCTTCTTTAAAATTAGGTAAAAAATCTTTTTTTTTTTATACTATTTTTATGAAATTAAAAGAATTAATTTTAAAAGTGTTCAAAGTATAAAATTGCAAACGGCTTATAAACTAATTTATAAATCTAAACTGATTATAAATTAGTTTTAAATTGGATTGAAATTATTTTAGCAGTTAACTGAAATCAGTGCAATTCATAAAATATAAACACCCTTAATTAGAATGACCTAATAAAAAAAAGAATTTTTAAGAGATTTTTTTGACCTTTTTTAGTTGGATGATCTATTATTTTTCTTTCAAATAATAAAAATTTTAAATTTAAATATCAAACTAATCAACTTATCACCATAATTTATAATATAATCATGTTTCAAATTAAAAAAAAAAAAAAAAGAAGAGTCACCATTTAAAATGACACTCTAATATTTTTTTAACTTTTTTTTTCCTGCAGATTTGATGTTACTTGCATATTTTCTTGAGGACAATTATTTGTAAGTAATCCGCAAGTAAATACGTGGGAAAAAAGTTAAAAACAAAAAATATATAGATTTTTTTTGTTGCAATAACTAGGTTTTAAAAAAAAAATACACAAATAACCATGTTTCGGAGAAAATTACGCAAATAACCATGTTTCAGAAAACTCCACAGAGGAGGAGTCAACCCAGTTGACGCATGTACCTATCATTATGCCCTAGGCGCCATCTCACTTGGCGCATGCTCTCACTTTTAGCCAAGTGAGATGGCGCATGCACTTTAAAAGTGAGAGGAGGCGCCATCTCACTTGGCGCCCAGGGCAAATGCTGTTTTCTATAAATAAATGACCTGATTCTCCGTCATTCTTCACACTTTCTCGCACCGTCTTCTTATTTTTTCTCTGTTATTTGCGTCATGATATCTCCCGTGATTTTCACCAGAGATGGATACGTTATTTTCTCGGCCACCAAACCTCCGATGAAAATGAAATTTTGGCACATTCACTCCATGGAGCGTCTGAAGAGAGAGTTGATGTGATTGCTAGAGGGAGACATTGAGGATGGAGAACAAATTAGAAGGATCCAGAGAAGAAGAACAACCACCACACTTACAACTAGAAGACCTAATTTTTGGTTGGAGGAAGTCAAAATAGACGGAGACGTAATGGCTCAGATGCATGGCTCAGATGAAATTGTTTTGACAGTTGTAATTTCTTAGACGTTTTATCGTGTTTTTATTTGTTGTTTGCGTATGGTTTGTTGTAACAAATGCTCTTAATGAAAAACAATAATGTTTAGAACTTTAAAAAGTAAAGATGGTTTGCATATAATTTTTATGTTGTTGAGCTTGTAGCCTGAGTGAGATAATTTTTTCGATTGTGTCCAACCTGACGACATAAACTACACTTTCTTTCTAGCTTATCAAGGGAGTCCATTTCAGTTGTGATACGATTGCTTTTGGGACGACCATTTTTATTCCTTCGCATTTGATCGCTGTGCCATACTATTTCCCCGTCGTATACAGGCCAATAATCAGGTTTCACTACCAATGGGAAGCTGTTGTTGTATACGTTGAGCAAGGTTTCAGACTTGTAAATGGGAGATAGAAGTTGTAATCCGTCTTGATGAGTATACGCACAAGCTGCAATGGCATGAGAGCAAGGCATACGAAAGGCTTGAAACTTGCCACGATCGCACCAACGAGATGGTAGTATTACCCTATACTCTTGTCTTGGCAGCCCCTCGTTATGGTCGATTGTCTCTTTGACAATGAAATTATGGTTGTGTCGGTCGAACCTTATAACCAGATGGGTGTTGGCTTTGGCACTTTTTATCTTAATATACTTCATGCAACTTTCACTCCATAGTTGTCCCGATTGTAAGACAACATTCCACATTTCACCTCTTTTGGCAAACAACGAAGCCATCCTAAAATATATTGATTTAACCAAAGCAGTTACTGGGATGTTTCGTATGCCTTTGAATACACCGTTCATGGATTTAATAAGATTTGTTGTCATGTTCCCCCATTGTTGTCCATTGTTGTATGACCTTGTCCAGTTCTCCACGGGAATATTATCGATCCACCTACCTGCTTCTGGATTTGATAATCTGATCTCGTTGCGATAGTGTTTGGACGTAGGTTGTGTTAATGCATACCCCACATTCATAATTGCTTTCCTAAGAGCCTTGTCTTTGATCTCCCTCGTGAAATTTTGTACGATATGTCTAATGTAGTAGACACGCGTAGAAGGAGGGTCATGCTAACCGTTTGCAGGATTATTGTATGCACTCTCAGTAGATGCATGTCTATCAGAAATCAAACAGATATCTAGTTGAGGAGCCACGTGTGTTCAAAGATTCCTGAGAAAGAAACTCCAAGCACCGCCAGTCTCTCCCTCGGCAAGAGCAAAGGCAATTGGGAAAATGTTGTTATTGTCATCTTGTGCAACTGCCATCAGTAGCGTGCCTTTGTATTTCCCATACAACCAAGTCCCATCAATTTGAATAATAGGTTTGTGTTGTACCCCAATTTTTGATCTAAGATCCCATTTGCATTTTTGCATTTTTATACAAAGGTCAAGGTCACTAAATACAGTTGGTTTTCAACCTCTCACCTTTGAGCATTGATTGTGCAGAAATTGTCAAGTGTTTTGAACATTTTTTGCCTATGTATCACTAACTTCTAATCAAGCACGAAATGTG